CTTGAACATTAAAATGGTATGAAATACCGACAGATTGTTAGGTAAGACACATATGCAACTGTTGCATATGTGTCTTACCTAACAATCTGTCGGTATTTCATACCATTTTAATGTTCATTCTGTCAGACACTGCAACACAAGGGTATCTTGGTACAGACCACTTCGACAACCTCTACTAGTGAGAACGGCTGGGTTTGAGAAGGACCTGCCCTCCCAAAGCAACCTACGTCTCGCCTCCTGGCACTATATAAAGGCCCCATTCTGTCACTTCAACTTCATATTGTTTCAGACAACGGAACAATGCTCTTCTCCAGACTGAGGGACTGACCACCTCAAAACTTTAAGGGTGATGGACTGATTACGTCGTCTTCAAGTATCTTCTGCTTCTATCAACCTTTCTGTACTCGACTGAAGAAGCCTACTGTGTAGGCGAAACGTTTCGAAATAAAGATACCTAACTGTTGCATATGTGTCTTACCTAACAACTCTATCTTGATGGGAAGAACAATAGTGGACATAGGAACAGTTATTTGTAGGTTTTCTGTAAATTTTAAATTTGAATTCATTATTACTCTTAATAATTAAAACATCTAGAAAAGGCAATGACTGTAGATGAATGGTTCACAGAACCGACACGTTGATAAATTAGACACATGTGCAACTCTTGGGTATCTTTATTAAGGAAACGTTTCGCCACAGAGTGACTTCATCAGTCCATGCACAGGAGAAGCTTGAAGAACAGGAGGAGAATGAGGTAATCAGTCCCTCAACCTTGAGGGACTGATTACCTACGAAACGTTTCCTTAATAAAGATACCCAAGAGTTGCACATGTGTCTAATTTATCAACGTGTCGGTTCTGTGAACCATTCATCTACAATCCTGTCAGACACTGCAACTTCTTGGGATCTTAATACTTGGGAATTCTTCGCTTGCCTAACCCTTGGGCACGACCTACTTCCACATTGGCCAAATGTGACACCACCTTCGACTGCTGCACCTCTACTGCTTACGGTTTTAAGCTCCTTCTCCGCTCATATGCCGTATTCTATTCAAGATTGATGGACTGACCACATCGACTCAAGGTTGAGGGACTGATTACCTCATTCTTCTCCTGTTCTTCAAGCTTCTCCTGTGTATGGACTGATGAAGCCACTGTGTGGCGAAACGTTTCCTTAATAAAGATACCCAAGAGTTGCACATGTGTCTAATTTATCAAAAGGCAATGAGTTATTTTCCTCAAACTCAACAGTAAAGTTTATAGAATGGGCTAAGCTATTTAATTTGCCAAGGAAATGGTGTATATCTACATTCTTGGGCATAAGACATAAAATATCATCGACATATCTGAACCATTTTGCTCTATTAGGGAGGATTGTGTTAAGCAACCTTGTTTCAAAAAAATCCATGTTCTTAGTAATCTATACATGGATTTTTTTGAAACAAGGTTACTTAACACAATCTTCCCTAATAGAGCAAAATGGTTCAGATATGTCGATGATATATTATGAATTATGCCCAAGAATGTAGATATACACTATTTCCTTGGAAAATTAAATAGCTTAGCCCATTCTATAAACTTTACTGTTGAGTTTGAGGAAAATAACTCATTGCCTTTTCTAGATGTTTTAATTATTAAGAGTAATAATGAATTCAAATTTAAAATTTACAGAAAACCTACAAATAACTGTTCCTATGTCCACTATTATTCTTCCCATCAAGATAGTGTTAAACTGTCTGTTTTCTCATCAATGTTTTTGAGAACTTTGAGTATTTGTAGTCCAGAGTTCATAGATGAAGAAATATCCAAAATTTATGAAATAGCCAATGATCTAAAATACCCGAGAAATGTAATTGATAAATCATTTAAAATTGCTAGAAATACTTTTTACAATCTAAAAAGGGACAACCAACCTTATTCAACTAAAAATATGTTGGTTCTCCCTTACCATGAAAACTTGGTTGATATGCCTTCTCTTCTTAAGACTTTTAATATTAAAGTTGTATTTAAAAATCGTGATACAGTAAAAAAAACTTTTGATAAAGAATTCCCCCCAAAATGCTGACGGATGTGTCTATAAGATTCCTTGTAAAATTTGCGATAAAGTTTATTACGGTCAAACTGGTAAAAATCTCGAACTAAGATTAAAACAACATAAATATAGCATTAGAACTGGACAAGTTTCCCAAATGCTCTATTTATTCATGTAAGAGATTTTAACCATCCAATTGATTTTCAAAAAGTTGAGAAAGTAGTATCAAGCAAGTCCATGGTCGACAGAAATATAATTGAATCTTGTTTCATAAAAAGCAGTTTTTGACAATATATGAATATTTCCTTTGGTTTATATAAATTAGATCCATTTATAATTAATAGAATTTTGGAAGAATTTAAAAATTTACACTGGACAAATAATAATTTTTAAATTTTCTTGGGTAGAATAGTTTGTTGGTGAGTTGTGCAAAGGACCTATCCAAGTTGGGTCGGCGCGCGTCACGTGTTTAACCATTGTGGGATCTGATAGTGAGGTGCTGGCCAGACCCCTTATATAGCTTCCTTGGATGCTTTACTTTCATAGTTCCTTGATAATGTGAGTAGTTACGAAAGCGCTTGGAATTTCTCTATTCTTTCAGAGTGGTTGTTTTGCATATATATATATATATATATATATATATATATATATATATATATATATATATATATTTTATATATATATATATATCGTGCCGAATATGTAAAACTGGTCAATTAGCAAGAACTCATTTAAAATTAAGTCCTTTCTAAATGTTTGAGGAAAATAACTCATTGCCTTTTCTAGATGTTTTAATTATTAAGAGTAATAATGAATTCAAATTTAAAATTTACAGAAAACCTACAAATAAGTCCTTTCTAAATGTTTGAGGAAAATAACTCATTGCCTTTTCTAGATGTTTTAATTATTAAGAGTAATAATGAATTCAAATTTAAAATTTACAGAAAACCTACAAATAACTGTTCCTATGTCCACTATTATTCTTCCCATCAAGATAGTGTTAAACTGTCTGTTTTCTCATCAATGTTTTTGAGAACTTTGAGTATTTGTAGTCCAGAGTTCATAGATGAAGAAATATCCAAAATTTATGAAATAGCCAATGATCTAAAATACCCGAGAAATGTAATTGATAAATCATTTAAAATTGCTAGAAATACTTTTTACAATCTAAAAAGGGACAACCAACCTTATTCAACTAAAAATATGTTGGTTCTCCCTTACCATGAAAACTTGGTTGATATGCCTTCTCTTCTTAAGACTTTTAATATTAAAGTTGTATTTAAAAATCGTGATACAGTAAAAAAAACTTTTGATAAAGAATTCCCCCCAAAATGCTGACGGATGTGTCTATAAGATTCCTTGTAAAATTTGCGATAAAGTTTATTACGGTCAAACTGGTAAAAGTCTCGAACTTAGATTAAAACAACATAAATATAGCATTAGAACTGGACAAGATTCCAATGCTCTATTTATTCATATGAGAGACTTTAACCATCCAATTGATTTTCAAAAAGTTGAGAAAGTTGTATCAAGCAAGTCCATGGTTGACAGAAATATAATTGAATCTTGTTTCATAAAAAGCCGTTTTGAAAATAATATGAATATTTCCTTAGGTTTATATAAATTAGATTCATTTATAATTAATAAAATTTGGTTAGAGTTTAGTAATACATTGGACAAATAATAAATCTTATTTCTTGGGTAGAATAATTTGTTAGTGGGTTGTCGTGAGGACCTGTCTAGTTGGACCAGCAGACCTACTGCAGTGTTCCTCTTTTCTTATGAGTCCGGTATTGTCCCGCGTCAGGTGTTTCTTTGTTGTGGGAGTTGACTGTGAGGTGTGGTCTAAGCCCTTTAATTGCCTTTCTTTGATGTATTACTTTCATAGTTCCTTGACAATGTGAGCAGTCACGAAAGCGCTTGGAATTTCACTACTCTTTCACAGTGGTTGTTTTGCATATATATATATATATATATATATATATATATATATATATATATATATATATATATATATATATATATATATATATATATATATATGTCGTGCCGAATATGTAAAACTGGTCAATTAGCAAGAACTCATTTAAAATTAAGTCCTTTCTAAAATTTTCTCTTATACGTTTAAAGATATATTTTTTTCATTAATGTTGATGTAAAAATTTATAATTTTGCACCAAAAGGAACTTAGAAAACTTACCTAACCTTATTATAACAAGAACAATTTATTTTAGCCTAACCCAACTAAATATAATTTAGATTTGTTTACAATAATTTAATACTAAACAAACACAGTGAAATATATTTTTTTCGTTAGGTTCAGAATGGTTTTGGCGAAATTATCGCATACACAAATTTTCACTTGTCCTATATGGCAAGATGAGCGTTGCTATTTAAGCCAAGATCGCAAGTTCTGCCTATTCGGCACGACACACACATATATATATATATATATATATATATATATATATATATATATATATATTATATATATATATATATATATATATATATATATATTCACCACTCACTATAAGCCAAGGACGAAAATATCCTAAGGTAAGTAATGAGTACACTGTATATGCATATTTTAGGTCTATATTGCTCACTCAATATAAGATAAACGTGTTATCAGGCTTTTATACACATCTGAAAGTGAAAAAGAGTGTAATTCCTTTTACAGCAATTTTTCTTTAACTCTGGTGACGCATAACCTAACCTGCTGTATAATAATAATAATAATAATAATAATTATTATTATTATTATTATTATTATTATTATTATTATTATTATTATTATTATTATTATTATTATTATTATTATTATTATCAAAGAAAGCTGTAAACCGACCTGATGTATAAGTGGGCCTTCCTGCTCTGACAAAAAATGCAAAAATTGTGAAAAGCAAACATAAAAATTTGTTTATTGACAAAACTAGAAAAAAAATTGACCAAAATTCCTGGTGTAGGACTGGAGGTGTACTCGAGGAAGCAGCGATCCATGATGGGTAACCTTTTTGCTGTGCCCTGGGCGGTGGGCTACATGGTTCTCCCTGGCATAGCTTACCTAGTGTATGACTGGTACTGGCTCCAGGCTGCCCTCACACTGCCTGCCATCTTCATGTTCTCCTATTTCTGGTAAGAGTGTGTGTGTATAATTACCACTTTGTTGTTACAGGAGCAGAGTGAAGCTTGTGGTGTCTTGCCTTCAGTATTTACCTCATCATTAATTTTTTTTTTCAAGTCTCCAGGAGATGTAGTTGCTACTTTCTTGTATAAACTAGTTTATTGAGCTACCACTCTGTTTATGAAATAAGACTTTATTAAGTATCATTTTTGTTGATGTTCCTTCTTCACTCACAGTTATTATCTATTTGTTTTGCTATTTTAATGGGGTTAGGAAGTCTTTCTTGTGTTTTTATATTGTTTTATTATCTTTAATGTTGTTTTTCATGTTCCTCTTTTCCCTTCCAGCTTAAAAGTGGCAGATTCAGTACTTTCAGCTTTCTTCATATGTCATATTTTGCACTTAAGTTTCTCTTAGTTATTTAAATTTTTTTAATGCAGACACCATACCAACAAAAAGATTCCAACTTTAGTATAATTTATGTTGTGAACAAGTTTTCAAAAATTTTCCCCCACATATCTAATAGAAGTGTCTATTTTGATATCTTTAATGCTTGTTTACTTTCTATTATATAAGAGGTCTATTTTTATTTCAATTATTAATTTTTTCTTGGTATTTATCCATATTAAATTCATCATCCACATGTGTGCAGGTGTAGGGTGTATGCACCAATATTTACTTGCAAGTGATAACACTTGCTCCGTGCTGTCTCACTTGATCTTTCAGTCATAACCATAATGATTTTTTTTAAAAAAACCTCACCATGCATCTAATTTTCTGCTACTACTACACTATACTATTACAAACTACTACTACTACTTACTACTAAAACCAACTACTACTACTACAACTACTACTACAATATACTAATATACTACTATTACTACTACTACTACTACTACTACTAATACTGCTACAACTACTACCACAACTACTATACTACTATTACTACTACTACTACTACTACAACTACAACTACTACTACTACAAAACTACTATACTACTACAACTACTTCCTACTATACTTACCACTACTATTACTACAATTACTATTACTACTACTACTACAAGAACTACTACTACTACTACAAGAACTACTACTACTACCACTACTACTGCTACTACTACTACTACTACTACTACAACTACTACTACTACTACTACTAGTACTACAAGTACTACTACTACTAGTACTACAACTACTACTTCTACTACTACTAGTACTAGAACTACTACTTCTACTACTACTACTACTGCTAGAACTGCTACTACTACTGCTGGTACTAGAACTACTACTACTAGTACTAGAACTACTACCACTACTGCTACTATTACTACTAGAACTACTACTACTTCTACTACTAATACTAGAACTACTACTACGAATATTACTAGTACTAGAACTACTACTACTACTACTACAACTAGTACTAGAACTACTACTACTACTATTAGTACTAGAACTACTAGTACTAGAACTACTACTACTACTAGTACTAGAACTACTACTACTACTACTACTACTACTACTACTTACTACCACTAGAACTACTACTACTAGTACTAGAAACTAGAAATAATACTATATAGTATTAGTACTAGAATACTACTACTACTCTACTACTACTAGTACTAGAACTACTATTACTACTACTAGTACTAGAAAAAATACTACTACTACTAGTAGTAGTAGTACTGAACTACTACTGCTACTACTACTAGTATTAGAACTACTCCACTACAACTGCTATTATACTAGAACTACTACTACGACTACTACTAGTACTAGAACTACTACTATACTAGCACTAAAAACTCTACTATTTTTGTACAGAACTACTATATTTTTAACTACTCTACTACTACTAGTACTAGAACTACTACTACTAGTACTGAACAAACTACTACTACTACTAGAACTACTACTACTAGTACTAGAACTACTACTATACTACAAGTACTAGAAACTACTACTATACTACTAGCATTGAAACTACTATACTACTACTACTACTATACTAGTACTAGAGCTACTACTACTACTACCACTACTAGTAGTGCTAGAATACTATACTACTATACTAGTACTAGAATACTACAAATCTACTGTACTTCCACTGTACTACTACTAGTAAAAGAAATAATACTACATAATACTATACTAGTACAAGAACTACTAATACTACTACTACTATTAGTAATAGAACTACTACTATACTACAACTACTACAAATTTACCACTACTACTACTACTACTACAAACTACTCTGCTTCTACTATAAATCTACTACTCTACTACTTCCTGCTACTACAACTACTACTACTACTACTATACTACTACTACTGCTACTACTACTACAACTACTATACTTTATACTACTACAACAAACTACTACTATACAACTACTATACTACTACTACAACTGCTACAAACTATAATATTAATATAAAACTACTTTTAAACCACTACAACTACTACTACAAACTATTTCTACTACAACTGCTACAACTATTACTACTGCTAAAAACTACTACAATTTAAAATACTACTACTAAAAACTACTACTACTACAACTACTACTAATATTTACTACTACTACAACTACTACTCTACTACTACTATTACTACTACAACAAATACTACATACTACTACAAACAACTACTACTACTACTACTACAACTACTACACAAACTATGCTACTACTACTATTACAAATACTACTACTACAACTACTACAACTACTACTACTACTACACAACTACTACTACTATACTACTCAAACACTTCTACTACTACTACTACCATACTATTACTACAATTACAACTATACTACTAGTACTACTACTACTACTACTATTTACTAGTACAAATACTACTACCATACTACTGCTACTACTACTACTGAAAATACTACTATACTACTACTAATACTACTACCACTACTACTGCTACTACTACTACTACAACTACTACTACTACAAGTAATAGAACTACTACTTCTGCTACTACTACTGCTAGAACTGCTACTACTACTAATGGTACTAGAATTACTACTATTTAGTACTAGAACTACTACCACTACTACTACTATTACTACTAGAATTGCTACTACTTCTACTACTACTACTACTACTATACTACTACTACTATAGAACTACTACTACGACTAGTTACTAGTACTTCAACTAGTACTAGAACTACTACTACTACTAGTACTAGAACTACTACTACTAGTACTAGAACTACTACTACCACTACTAGTACTAGAACTACTACTACTACTACTAGTACTAGAAACTACTACTACTACTACTAGTACTAGAACTACTACTACTACTACTACTACTCTACTACTACTAGTACTAGAACTACTATTACTACTACTAGTACTAGAACTACTACTAGAACTACTACTACTACTACTAGTATTAGAACTATTACTACTACTACTACTAGTACTAGAACTACTACTACTACTACTACTAGTATTAGTAGTACTAGAACTACTACTACTACTACTACTTCCACTACTACTACTACTAGTACTAGAACTAATACTACCACTACTACTACTACTAGTACTAGAACTACTAATACTACTACTACTATTACTAGAACTACTACTACTACAACTACTACTACTACAACTACTACTACTACTACTACTACTACTACTGCTACTACTACTACTACTACAACTACTACTGCTTCAACTACTACAACTACTACTACTACTACTACTACTGCTACTACTACTATAACTACTACTATTTTCAAACTACTACAACTACCTACTTACTACAACTACTACTACTACTACTACAACTACTACAACTACTAATACTACAACTACTACTACTACTACAACTACTACAACTACTACTATACTACTACTACTACTACATCTACTACAACTGCAAAAACTATTACTACTACGACTACTACAACTACTCTATACTACAACTACTTCTACGACTACTACAACAACTACTACTATTACTACTACAACAACTACTACTTACTACTACTACCACTACAACTAATATACTACAGCTACAACTACTACTACAACTATACTACTACTATTACTACTACTACTACAACAACTACTACTACTATACTACAACTAATACTATACTACTACAACTATTTATTTTACTACTACAAACTGCTTGCACTACTACTACTACCACTATTACTACAATTACTACTACTACTACTACTACAACTACTACTTCTACTACTACTACTACTAGAACTACTACTACTACCACTACTACTGCTACTACTACTATTACTACTTAATTATTACTACTACTACTACTAGTGCTACAACTACTACTACTACTACTAGTGCTAGAACTACTACTTCTACTAATACTAGTACTAGAACTGCTACTTCTACTACTACTACTGCTAAAACTGCTACTACTACTACTGGTACTAGAACTACTACTACTAGTACTAGAACTACTACCACTACTGCTACTATTACTACTAGAACTACTACTACTTCTGCTACTAATACTAGAACTACTACTACGACTACTACTAGTACTAGAACTACTACTACTACTAGTACTAGAACTACTACTACTACTATTAGTACTAGAACTACTCTACTACTACTAGTACTAGAACTACTACTACTAGTAGTACTATAATTACTACGACTACTACTACTATTAAAACTACTACTACTACTGCTAGTACTAAAACTACTACTACTACTACTAGTACTAAAACTACTACTACTATTACTAGTACTAGAATTACTACTACTACTAGTACTACTCTACTACTACTATTACTAGAACTACTATTACTACTACTAGTACTAGAACTACTATTTACTACTACTAGTATTAGAACTACTACTACTAGTACTAGAACTACTACTACTAGTAGTACTAGAACTACTACTACTACTACTACTACTACTAGTACTAGAACTACTACCACTACTACTATTACTACTACTAATTCTACTATTACTATTACTATTAGAACTAC